CTTTGGGCACCAGTATCTCCCGGGCGTTGTTTATCACTTGCTTTCCGATCATTATTATCGCCAACTGTTGGGTCAGTTCCATAAGACACCCGTAATTACTGCACTATTGGGACCACAAAAGCCATGCTTACTATTAGTGTTATTATAATAATAAACTGTAATTTTAATGTAATGTATTTATAATATTATAGAATTATATTATTTGTTTTGTTTATTGCACTAGTAGGTCAAGTGCGATAAAATTTTTAAATAAAATAAAATAAATAAATTAATATTTTTAAAAATAAGAGCTTTTATTAGCAATCTATTATCATTTTACTATAATTTAAAGTTAAGTTATACTATAAACTAAAACTATTAGGCATTCCATTGTAGCAAATAATTAATAATGAAATGTTTACTAGGTTAAAATACTCGTCGAGAATATCATTATATTTAATTTTTACAAATTCTAACTATTATTAAATTATTATAACTATAACTCCAAATAAGAGACTTTAAAACATGATCAAAAATGATGTTCAGGGACCATTATGTTCACGTAAATGACAAACTCATGGCATACCTCCTCATTCCTAAGGCCCAGTAGTGAGCCATACCGGGCCGGAGTGCCTACGAATCTGCCCTTAAAGAAGGCGATGTAGAAAATGGATGAATAAAAGTTGATGAACTGGAATATAAACACTTTGAACGCCAACTGGTTATCAAACTCCGATTGTGTCCGGTGCATTTCTATAGCAAAAAAGTAAATTCACTTTTACTATTATATAAATAATATTCATACATTTTAAAAATTCTCAACTTCCGGTTAGGCCATTTTTTATTATAGAAAATTATTATTTAGTTATTCGTATTACATAATATTATTTTACAGTTCTTTCAATACTCTTAAATTGCTAATTTAAATTCTAACTATTTCATTTTAATTGCTCAAGAAACTTTAAAATATGCTTATCATAGCTTATTAAAAATTATGTTACAAAATGTAATTAAACGTAAATCAATTAACGTAATCTTTGAGATATTTAACAATTTAATATAATTAGTGTTATTTTGTTATATTAATGAATACCCCATTCGGTGAGCCTATAGGCGAGCTTTTCGTATACCCGGCCGACAGTCATAATGAGTATGAGGTTCACGAAAGCGCCGGAAGAGGTGGCTATGAGTGAAGCTTTATTTTGTTATATTAATGAATACCCCATTCGGTGAGCCTATAGGCGAGCTTTTCGTATACCCGGCCGACAGTCATAATGAGTATGAGGTTCACGAAAGCGCCGGAAGAGGTGGCTATGAGTGAAGCGATGGGACGCATACCCGGCGTCTGAAACGATTGCATCGAAACCAATATTATTCGGTATATAATGACGGCTAACATGAAGATTAACACCAGTATTAACTGCCATCAGAAAAAAAACATTAATTAAAACATATTACTAAACAATAACTTATTCACAGAATATTCTGTAACCTAATAGTAATTATACAATAAAAGTTTTAAATGTGTTTCGTATGCAACATGCTAATTTATATGTGCTTTATTACTAATATAATCTGTATTATAGTTGCATGTTCATGTAATATTAGGTTTTATGATGAAATAAATTAAGTTTAATTATATTATACAAACCATTAATAGTATAGTCATATAACCGGCTGCCATACGGAAACACCTAATCCTATGGGGAAATGCGGGCTCTTTATGACCGGTAATGGGATTCCGTTCGAGATATGGAGCCTTTGCACTGAATTGTGGTCGCGGTCTCTGTTTTCATATATAATTTAATTTTAATTAAATTATTTAATTAAATAAAAAGAATTTATTGTTATTTAATGTTATGGCAGACAAATTAGCCAGTAAATTTAATATTATGCTGAAATAAGTGTAATAAAGTTTATCTTAATGAACAATAATTGTTATTGTGGTTTAATTATGTAGAAATTTTGTATTTTATGTTTTTATAGTAAATTTGCTTAAAATGGTTTAAAAAGCTAAATACTTAACAACTTATACTGTCTATTATAAAACACATGAACAAATCATTATTCAACCATTATAATATTTCCAATTAATTATTTTGATAATTAATTAGATTTATCTCAAAACCTACTAGGCACAATAGTAAATAAACTGTAAAATATATTTTAATCTATACTATATTTATCTAAATATTTGAAATTAAAATAAATGGTATTATTTCGAATCTGATTAAACTAAATTATTCCAGCCACTTTTTAAAAAAAATTATCTTGCTGACTAATATTTAATATTTCATAAAATAGATAAATCACATAATTATCATAATATAAGGTGTGTCTATACCTCCTCCTCATTGCAATCAATTGAGTCCCAGTGATGGGCCAATGACACGGACTTCCGTTTCCAGTACTCCAGAAATGCCACCGCTTTTCAACAATCAACAAATAAAATGATCCCGATCAGTATGCTATCATATTTTTATGCACTATAGGGTTTACCCCAGAATGAGATAAAAACGGCATAGAAAACAGTGCCCGAGTGGTCGAACATAACGGAAAGGCGTGAATAGAGACATATCTCGGATAAGTGCCAATACTGACAGCCCTGGTGCTCGTCACACGTCGGACACATCACGTACTTCTCACCGCTATTACAGATTTCTCGCCTAAATAAAATGATCAGGGATAAAATTAATAATTTATTATGCAATTCTTATGATATAGTATTATATAATTAGTTAATCATTGTCGAGTTTCCCAATTTTTAAATGTGAAATATAAACAAATAAATTCATTTTTATTTTACCCTTAATTTACAGTTTACTAACAAGTCATATAAAATTGTATTATAATATATAATATAACAATAAGGTAAACTTACGAGGGTACATCACTTGATATGCTAAGTAATCCGTATAAGAAAACTAATATGCCCACAATTGACGCGGGTACTAACCATCCCGTATAAAAACCTATAATTAAAAATGATTATATTAATTATAAATAATAAGACCAAACATTGACTAAAGCAAACCTAGCCAGGCAAAATAAATGGCAATTTTCTCCCCGAAATAATCCCGGATGTGGTCGAGGGGCTGGTATTTATACCATTTGGACCATTGGGCCCAATAGTAGTACAGTATTTGGCGTTTATTATAATGTTGTGAATCTCTAATGGTTTTTGGCGTTTCGTATGGACCCTGTTGATTTTAATATATTTATAATTAATTTGTAACATTAATTGACATAAATTATTAAACATATTATAAAAACTGTATAAATATATTAAATATATTAATAATTTATTGCAAACAAACAGAAATTATAATTATGATTTATTGACGGTAATTGTCCTTACTTATTAATTATTTATTAATTTTTAAAAAATTAATAAAATTTTAAAAAATAAATTATATTTAAAAATTGTTCATAAAAACTGTATTTATATATTTAGTATACTAATTATGTATAACAATGTAACATGAATAAAATTAATCGTTATCTCAATAATCTAAGATTTTATTTATTTAAAATAAATTAATGTCATATTATGAATGATAATAATGTCTGTGAACTATTAGTTACAAAATGTCTTATATTTCATTATATGCATGAGCATGGTGACTTACATCGTGTAATGGATATGAGGCGGTGAATATGTTTTGTTCAATAAGTCGGTTGACCCCCACCTGAGCTAAACTCCTTTTCCCAAACGATACCGACTCTAGTATTTCGTGAACCACTCGTATGCGTTGGGTTCGCGTGAAATAATGCTCCGGGTCTTCGCTACCTATAAATTATGGGTAAATTAATAATTAATAAACTTTTCCTGCAATATGTTATATAAGTATAAAATATTGAGACAAAGAAAGTATATTTAGAAATATAAGTAATAATTAATGAATGTTTTCCCGAATATAATAATAAGTCTTTCAGTCGACTCTATACTCGAGTGACTCTTATAAATAGAAATAAGAGTTTGCTTTTGAGATAAATAATTAATTTTCTCATTTTGTTTGCCTTTCATACGTCTATTAATACTGATATAGTGTTTGTTATAATAAACTACGATGACACTTTTATAATACTAATATTTTTTTGTTATTTTGTAAATGCTAATTTGATTGAAAACGTAAAAATATGTTCCCATTGGCAGGTTTATTAAATCAAATATTTATATAATTTGTTTGAAAATTATTATACAATAGTTAATTAATATGCTTGATAATTATTTAATTAATATGAACTGACATGTGAGTACTGAGGTGTTAAGTAAGCAATTTATTAATATTACGATATAATAATATTTTAAAATATTACTTATACCTAAATATTAAATATAATGTTAGTATTCATGAAAGTAATCATTTAAAAACACATTTCAAAATGATTGAGGTGTACTATATACAAAGTATAGAATGTTTGATATTGATAATATTTTTATTTTGGATACATGGAAATATGATTCAAAATTATTTGTAGACATTCAATAGTAAATGGAAAAATCGATTTTATGTTAAAAATATTATTTAGTCTATTGAAATATAAATCACTGATTTAGCCATTGATTGTGAGTTTCAGTAGCTGTAAGTTTATATTAATATCAGGTATAATATTTTCAACTTTAAAGCTTGGTTTTACTATTGGCTATATTTAATTTTTAATTTTATAATGATTAAAGATATTATGGCAAATAATGTAATACCAATGGTTGATTAAATAAATTATAGTAAAATTAATTTCATGAACTTTTCACTTAACACTGTATAATAGACAGCATATTATGCTTTCACTAGATTATCCCAGTTTTGTAATAATCAAGTTATTAAGTAAATATATATAAACAAATTAATTGTCTCTTCCAGTTAAAATGTAACTTGATAAATACTAAAATATTTTTTAAATCTAAAATTATGGTGAAACAATTCATAAATAAATTATGCTTGCCGAGAAACTTGGTGAGTTTGGACTGTTTGAAGGGACAGGTGTAGTAATCGAGTGGTTTGTTGGGCACGTATTCATACATAGGATTCTTGACTCGCAATGCACTGAACATATTGTCCGACCAGTTCTCCGATGGGTTGGCCACACTCTGTAGGGGTGCCCTCAGACTCAGCTGCTCGGCGTATGTACACATCAGAGGGAACGGTACGTAGAGTTTGACAAAATGTAGGAACCGGTCGCCCTGGGAGGTGGTGGGCTCGCCGGGTACGGGTCGCAGGGGTACGACATTCTCCTCCATTTCCACTCCCATAGTCTTAAGATTAGCGAAATACTTGTCCCGATATTTATCTGCCCTCCCGTTCCTCGCTTTAGTCCACTCCTCGTATACTAATATGTGATCTGATTATGATTTTTACAAAAATTATAAAAGATTTGTAAGAAATAATACACGAATCGTACAAGGTACTTTTTAAATCAAATTGTGTTAAGCTCAATTATTTATTCATTATTCTAAATTATATAGCTAGAGGTTTATAAAACTGTAAACGTTTTGTAATAATAGGAAAAATATTTAATGTATCATAGGTATCAGTAAATTGAGTCTCAAACAAATTTATCCCTAAAAGATACAACATACATTTTTAAGTTTTTTAATTTTACATAATTTACCAAAATTGCGTTAAGTTCAATTTTGTGTGTATATTCATAAATTATATGAAACAGTCTATGAAACTGTAAAAGTATATAAAAAATATGAAAAATACATTTGCTACTTTAAATAAGTGTAATATGGTCATATTTATATGCCACAACATAATATTTAAAATTTTTAATTTACACAAACCCGAATTTAAGTTAGTTTACCTGTTTGATTATTTACTACATAATACTCTTAATAATTATATTCTTAACAGAAAAATTGTAATTACTGATACCTTATATTTTACTAAAAATACTGAATAATATTAAAGTAAAACTACTTATAATTATTATTTATAGTTAATATTAATAATTAATTCTAACTACAATTAAATATACAAATTCAAATAAACATTCATAACCAAACTGTAAATAATTTTTTTAACATATAATGATACTATATGTGCCTATTATCAAATTACAAGTGGTCACTATACAAAGTATAGTTTAAAATTTTTATATTAACATTGGAAATTAACTCATTATTTAAATAATATGCAATTTTTGTTAAAATAAAATGACATTCATATTAATTATACCGATTTGTCTCTTTCCGTCAGCAAATGTGACCCAATCCTCATCGCCATTATCTCCGGGATTATCACCACTCGATTGGATCCGATTATGTCTTACAGTCTCGTTGTTATCGCTATCACTCGACTCGTCGGCCCTTTTCTGTGAAGCCATTGGATAACGAAATACACGTTTAAAACACATTTCCGTCAAACAAATCAATACTACGGATAAATATCGCAACAAAAACAACACATAAAACGATATAAACTTTAAGTACATTTTGGAGTACAGAAACTACTT